ACTGTAGTCTCATAATTGAAGTGTAAATTCTGCAGATTACATCATTGTCCAGTATTGTACTGTCAGCAATTTATTATTAAAACATTTTCATAATTGTAACATGCATATTTACATACATAATTATTCAGGTGCATGTGTAATAACTTGCGAAAACTTGACGCTACAGCATCTTCATCATCGTCTTGTCTGATGCACTCAGCCAAGCGTTCTAACCACAACCTCGCCCCTCCCCACCCCCCAACCATTCGAATTTCTGTTGGCGGGAATTATTTTAATGATATTCTAATGGACTGCTTTGTGATATCACAAAACCCGGAAAACAACGCTGTAGTCCAAACGAGCCGTTCGTTGTAGTTCTTGAAAAGGGATTTTTTAAAAACGAAATATCTCCCTTTGGAGATTTGTAACTTTGTAGATCTTTTTTATGCCCAAACATACACACTGAATAAAATACAAAAAGTGAAAAAGCATAATAGGACCCCTTTAAGAAATGACTACTTTTATTTAGCAAGGATGAATTAAATTGATCAAAAGTGACAGTAAAGCCTTGTATAATGTTACAAATGATTTTCATTCCCATGGTTTTCAACACTGATAATAATTAGAAATGTTTTTTGAGCATTTTTGAGCACTCCTTTTAGAATGATTTCTGAAGGATCTTGTCTTACTGAATGCTGGAGTAATGGCCGCTGAAAATTACATTTTGCCATCACAGGAATAAATTACATTATAAAATATATTCAAATAAAAAAGTTATTAAAAGTTGTAATAATTCATAATATTATTGTTTTTTTACTGTATTTTGCAAATAAATTATTTTTGCAAATAAATGAAGAGATATATCTTTTTTTGTCCATACAATCAGTCACTGTTGTTTTGAACCCCATTAACTTTGTATGGATAAAAACAGTTGAAATATTCTCTGAAATATCTTCTTTTGTGTTCCACCAAAGAAAGAAAGGATGACAGAATATTTATTTTTGGGTGAACTATCCCATTAAAAGCCATTCACATAGGATGTGCTATGTGCACAAGCATCTTGGACCATTGTGTAGATTCTCGCGTCTCTCCTCAGAAGTCTGTGTTCTGTTGATTTCAACTGAACACCAGTCCACAACCATCAGCATCTGTGGAGGGACAATCCCACACTCATGGTCTTTGTGTGACCACATTCACCCTCTCCAACCAAGATCCCAAGCTCACACCACACCCTCCGCACTCCATGTAGCTTTTAAAAGAATGCATGATAAAAACATGGTCCGACTCATTCTGGAGAGATCTAATGTTAATGTAATGATGACTGCAGATATGTGACGTGTGATGAAGTGTTTCTCACTTGCCTGTTGATTTCTTCCTCCTGTGAACAGGACCACGGTCTGTACTCTAAGGAGCGGGCAGAGGAGCAGCCGCGGCCCCCGGTGAAGGCTAATGACTACTCCTCTTCCTCAGAAAGCAGTGAGAGCAGTGAAGAGAGTGAGAGTGGAGAGGGAGCAGAAGAGGAAAGCCCTACTGACCGGTACAAGACAACAATGTGTGAATGTCTCACTGTTTTTTGGTTTCATTTTTCATATTTTTCTTTGAATGTGTTTATCAGCCCACATGATGCAGATTCTGACTCTGTGAACACTATGGTGGTCCATGAGGAGGAGGAAGGTGAAGGAGGAGATGAAGAACGTGCCGGGGGGTATGGAGACCAAACCATGCTTGTACAGAGGGTAGGATGCGTGTGTTTACTGTTTTTTTTTTCTACATTATGTTGACTAAATATCCTTGTAATGTGTATTCAGGTTTCAGATCTTTACCCCTACATGATGAGTACATCTAGCTGTACCCATGATTCAAAAAAAGTTTTCTGCAAGGATTATGTTTAGGGATGGGGTTATGGGATAAAAAAATATTTTATGTTATATATATTTTTAATAGGGATGCACCAAAATTTCAGCCGCCGAAAAATGATCGGCCTAAAGTGGCATTTTTGGTTTTTGGAAAAAACGTCTCACTGCGCGGTGTGACGCTCTGCTCAGTATTCTGCTCTATGAATGTGCATTCTGCTGAGTTGCTCATGGCCCATGTGAACGCTCCACTCTACTATTCATGCTCACCGGAAAAGCAAAGTCCGCTCAAATAACGTGCCGACAGGAAATTTCTATGTAGTTTACTTGTTACTATTTGCAATAGCGCTACTGTGCTGTAACATGGTGTAGTACAGCTGTGCTGGGCAACGCTGGTAAAATGACTCTACCCTCTCATGGCGCTATGCTCTGCTCACATGCTCTCATAATAATAGCTTTGTAGGACTATACATTATTTGGATAATTAAAAAAATATATATTGATATTTAATATTAATATATTTTCTGTCCAATTTTATTGTTTTACTGTCAGTAAAAGTGTGGTTATTTTACTGGCTTGTATTTTTTTAAATTCAGTGACATTAAAATTATGTTAAAGTTAAATTAACAAGTCTTACAAAATTATTTTATATTATTTAATAAAATAATAAATAACTATTAAAAAGCATTTTGAGTTTTGGTTTTCGGCCAAGTGCATCCAGAATTTTCGTTTTTGGTTTCTGCCCAGCATTTTCATTTTGGTGCATCCCTAATTTTTATATCCCTGTTGCTGATATATTACAGAGCAGGGTGGCTGGCATGTAATCATGTAATTTAATTTTCCGAATTTAAACAAAATATTTATATATAATTCTTGATTGGTTTATATTCATGTTGTTGTTATTTTAACACACAAAAAGGTAAAAACATGGATAAAATAGAAGATAAGCACTGTATTATCAGTATTAATTACTGTCATCTGAATAAAAATGTACAATACCGTTCCAGGGTTTGGGGTCGGTAAGATTTTTAAAATCTTTTTCAAAGAAGACTCTAATGTTCACCAAGGCTGCATTAATTAAATATAGTAACAATAATATTATTAATTTCAAATATTATTACAATATGAACTGTTTTCTATTTGAATATATTTTAAAGTGTAATTTATTCCTGTGATGGTAAAGCTGAATTTTCAGCAGCCATTACTCCAGGCTTCAGTGTCACAAGATCCTTCGGAAATCATTCTAATTTGCTTCTTTGGTGCTCAAGAATCAATTCTTATTATTATCAATGGTGAAAACCGTTGTGCTGTTGAATATTTTTGTGGAAACTGTGATATATTTCTTTCCCACGATTCTTTAATGAATAGAAAGTTTTAAAGAACAGCATTTCATTTTAATGCAGCATATACAGTGTGATGTTGTTTCACTAGCATGTTTTCTCTACCTACACTTTGAGGGTTTCCATCAGTATTGTCCCTACGATGCCTCAAAAAAAGTTGTTGAGACTTTACATGTATGCATGAAACCAAAATAATGGATTCACTGCTTTTGATGGACTGTTTTTTCCCTTTATGAAGCAAGTGGAACATGAATAATACCTATGTGTTTGTTTTTGTGTGTTTGTTTCTGGCAGACTCCAGAGAAGCGTAGTCATAATGGATACACCAACCTGCCTGATGTGGTTCAGCCCTCCCACTCTCCCACAGACTCTGCCTCCCACTCTTCCCCTGGGAAAGACTCTGCCTATGATGTGAGCTCTCTGCCCACCTAACTTTTAAAGCTTCATTCTCTCCACCGTGTATATAATTGGATCATGTTTTCTTTCTTTGTTTATTTGAGTCATTAACAGAAACATTGCACAATGTGTGCAGCTGATTGGTTAACTCAGATCATGCAATCAATTTCAGTATCAGTCCAGGGGATTGGTGAAGGCCTCTGGAAAGTCCTCTTTTACTACCTTTGTGGACCTTGGGATGTACCAGCCATCAGGGGGCACAGGCGATAATATGTCTGTTGGAGGTATGGTATTAATTTAGCTGACTCAATGCCGTTCAATGGTTTGGGGTCGGTAAAACATTGTTAATGTTTCTGAAAAAGTCTCTTATTCTCACCAAGGATACATTTATTTAATCAACATTATAGCAAAAATGGTAATATTATGAAATATTATTATAATTTAAAATAGCTGCTTTCTATTTTACTATATTTTAAAATGAAATTTATTCCTGTGATGTCTCAGCTGAATTTTCAGCATCATTACTCCAGTCTTCAGTGTCACATGATCCTTCAGAAATCATTCTGATATGCTGATTTGCTGCTCAATAAACATAACTTATGAATATTAATGATAAAAACTGTTGTGCTGGTATTTTTGTGGAAACTTTTGGAAACGGAACCCTTTTTAATTGGTTTAATACACCCTTTCTGAATAAAAGTATTCATTTACTTATTTATTTTAAAACTTAAAAAAAACAAAAAAAACTTTTGAATGGTAGTGTTTGTGCACAGGTTAAATACACTTGAAAAACATGTGAATATTGATCAGTATTTTGGTCTTGTTTTGTAATAATAAATATACTTAATATATGTACTTGAGAAACAAAATTGTGAGAGATAGGACTTCTTGTTTTAAAGATGCCATATATTTGTAAAGGAAAACAAAACCAAAAAAAAAAAAATGTTTAAGAAAAAAACATTTTTTTGTTTAGTTTTTTTGCAGTGTAGATCCGCCATCATTGCTTCGTTGTTGTGAAGGTATTGCTGACAGATGACACAATCACTCACTGCTGTGCTTCTCGGTGCTTTGCTTGTGTTGTAGGTCTGGGCTCTCGTTTTGAGCAGTTGAAGATGGAGGTGAGGAAAGGCTCCATGGTTAATGTCAATCCCACCAACACTCGTCCAGTTAGTGACACTCCTGAAATCCGCAAATACAAGAAGAGATTCAACTCGGAGATCCTCTGTGCTGCTCTCTGGGGTAAGAGATGAACGAGCCGTTTGTGTAGATGTGTGTATGTGAACTTTCTATTGTCATTTCCTTAATTCCTTCAAAGTTCAAGACTAGTTTGATGGCAGTGCCACCCTCTGGCCAAAGTGCATAAAACAAGACCAAAAAGCATTGGAACTGTGGAATAATTTGGCTTAAGTTCATTGCGCCAAACATTTTTTGGGGCCTATTAAATTCAATACTTTTTCCAAGTTTCACCATACAGCTTTCTGCCATTTTGAACTCCTACAAAGAAGTCTGAAGCTTGACAAACTTTTATTTTCAGAATAGCGCTCTAAAACTGTGTTTGTTAGGTCATGAGGGTGTTGTGTTTATATATGAGTGTGTGTATGTGTTATAACGGTGTTTGTTCTGTCAGGTGTGAATCTGCTGGTAGGGACAGAGAACGGTCTAAAGCTGCTGGATCGGAGCGGCCAGGGGAAAGTTTATTCACTTATCAACTCGCGCAGGTTTCAGCAGATGGAGGTTCTGGAGGGACTGAACCTCCTTATCACTATATCAGGTTACACACAGGCCTATTCGTCACTTTACACATACACACATGCATCTACTCATCACTATCAGGACACATGGATACATGCAACCACACCTTTCATTTTTAGGCTCTTCATGTTTAGTATCTCTCTCTCAGGCAAGAAGAATAAGGTGCGTGTGTATTATCTGGCCTGGCTGAGAAATAAAATCCTCCATAATGACCCAGAGGTGGAGAAGAAACAGGGCTGGACCACTGTAGGCGAAATGGAGGGCTGTGTGCACTACAAAGTTGGTAAGTGTGCATGTACAGAGTGCTTAATTATGCACAAAGAAAAGGCCACAAGAAATTGGCGAAAGTATGCACTACTACAGTGTGAAATGTAGGTAGTTTAGAAGACCTCAGGCAAAATACTTTAACTTTGCACTCAAACTCTTCTAAAGTACTTCATGTCATATATCACCTTTGCTGTGAACATTTTTGTTTATTTTCCCAGTGAAATATGAAAGGATTAAGTTTCTGGTTATCGCTATGAAGAATGCAGTGGAGGTTTACGCCTGGGCTCCCAAACCTTACCACAAATTCATGGCCTTCAAGGTAGAGACACTAGTTTGTTTTAATGTCAGATTGTTTTATTTATCATGTACACAGCTTACATGGGGTTTGCTGGGCATTCTAATGTTTAAAAAAAATTTCAGGAGTTTGTGTTACTTGAGCACCAAATCGTTATATTATAAAATTCAGCTTTGCTGTCACAGGAATAAATTAAATTTTTAAATATATTGAAATAGAAAACAGTTATTTTCATTTATGATATTTCACAATATTACTGTTTTTTTTTACTGATTTTTGAATGCAGCATTGGTGAGTATAAGAGTTCAAAAAGATTTCAAAAGTGATTTCAAAACCATTAAAAAAATCTTACTGACCAAACTTGTGAATGGTAGCGCAAGTTATAATAAATATTGCTTGCTGTACTGTATGTTAAAAGTAATAGAAAGTAACCAAGTACCAAATTATTTGAGGTAAACCGTTTTTTTGTGAGCATAATCTCTGTAATGTGCTATACTTTCAGTCTCTTGCTTATTTGTGTCTTTCTTCTCAGTCATTTGGAGACCTGCCACATAGGCCTCTGTTGGTTGACCTCACAGTGGAAGAGGGTCAGAGGTTAAAGGTCATCTATGGGTCAAGTGCTGGCTTCCATGCTATTGATGTTGACTCTGGAAACAACTATGACATCTACATTCCTGTACATGTGAGTTATGCTGGCATAAAGTTTTTTTTTTTTCACAAGAATGCACTGGATCACATGGGAGTGAACAGTGATTTGTGGGTCAATTGTAAAATGAAGAGAAAAGTTTTATGGTCTTATATATCTTCAGAAAGATAAATCTCCTTTGACCTCTGTTCCTCTCTTTCACTCCCTCTTGCTCTCTGCATATCTGTCTGTCTCTGTAGATCCAGTCACAGGTGACTCCTCATGCCATCGTATTCCTGCCCAATTCAGATGGGATGGAGATGCTGTTGTGTTATGAGGATGAGGGTGTTTATGTCAACACATATGGACGTATCATTAAAGATGTGGTGCTGCAGTGGGGAGAAATGCCCACATCTGTAGGCAAGTATACATTCACTCACTCTCACACACACATATAAAGTCATGTGAAAAAGAAAGGACACCCTGTTGAATACCATGGTTTTCCGTATCAAGACGACATAAAATCATCTGATTCTTAGGAGGTCTTAAATTTTGGAAAATAAATCCTCAGATGAACATCAACGCATGACATCACACCATGTCATTATTTATTTATCAAAAACTAGGCCAAAATGGAAAAGCCATGTGTGACAAACTAAGGACACCCTTACTGTTAAGATGGGAATTAAGAGGGTAAGTAACAGTCAGGCACTGCTAATCAAATACCTTTTATTAACTGATCATCAGCAAGTGTGAGCACCTCTATAAAAGCAGAGGTTTTGGCAGTTTGCTGGTCTGGAGTCTTCAGGTGTGTGTTACTACAATGCCAAAGAGGAAAGACATCAGCAATCATCTTACAGAAGCAATTGTTGCTGCCATCATTCTGGGAAGGGTAATACGGCCATTTCCAAACAATTTGAAGTCCATCATTCCACAATGAGGAAGATTATTCACTACTGGAAGACATTCAAGACAGACACCAATCTTCCCAGGAGTGGACGTCCCAGGAAATTCACCCCATGGCCAGACCATACAATACTCTGAGACAACCCAGGAACTACACCTCAGACTCTACAGGCCTCAGTTAACATGTTAAATTATGAAGTTCGTGACAGTGCAATTAGAAAAAAACCAGACCGGTATGGCATGTTTGGAAGGGTTGCCAGAAGAAAGCCTCTTTCCTCTAAAAAAGAACATGGCAGGATAGCGTTGGTTTGCAAAGCTGCATCTGAACAAACCATAAGATTTCTACAACAATGTCCTTTGAACAGACGAGATCAAAGTGGAGATGTTTGGCCATAATGCACAGCGCCACGTTTGGTGAAAACCTAAAGAGCATATCAGCACAAACACCTCATAGCAAAAGTCAAGCATGCTGGTGGAGGAGTGATGATTTTGGGTTTGTCTTGTAGCCACAGGACCTGAGCACCTCACAGTCATTGAGTCGACCATGAGCTCCTCTGTATATCAATGTATTCCAGAGTCAAATGTGAGGCCATCCCTCTGACAGCTAAAGCTTGGCCAAGATTGGGTCATGCAACAGGACAATGATCCCAAGCACACCAGCAAATCTACAACAGAATGGCTGAAAAAGAAAAGAAATCGAGGTGTTGCAATAGCCCAGTCAAAATCCAGACCTTAGCCTGACTGAAATGCTGGGGATAGAGCTGAGCATTAACAAATACCCACAAACCTCAATAAACTGGAGCAACGTTGTAAAGAAGAGTGAGCCAAAACTCCTCCAGAACGATCTGAGAGACTGATAAAGTCATACAGAAAATGATTACTTCAAGTTATTGCTGCTAAAAGTGGATCTACAAGCAACTGACTCATAGGGTGTCCCTAGTTTGTCACCCATTGCTTTTCCATATTGGATTTATTTTTGCTAAATAAATAATGACACAGTGTGATACAGTATGTCATGTGTTGTTGTTCATCTGAGGTTTTATTTTTCAAATTTTAAAACCTGCCAAGGACCATATGATTTTTTTTATGATGTCTTGATACAGAAAAGCATGGAATTTTGTGTATATATAGCCCTCATATTCTTTTTACAGAATTGTAAAATTGGTGAAATGAATGTTGTAGTCTTGTCTGGATGAAAACACATTACCTTGAATTATATAGCAGGGGATTGAGTTGTTGCAGTAGATATTTTTGTAGAGACCGTGTTAATGAAGTGAATGATAAAATATTCTAATGTCCTTGTATTTGTGTTTTGCGTGTAGCCCACATCTGCTCTAATCAGATTATGGGCTGGGGAGAGAAAGCCATTGAGATCCGTTCTGTTGAGACGGGACACCTGGATGGAGTCTTTATGCACAAGAGAGCTCAGCGGCTCAAGTTCCTGTGTGAAAGAAACGACAAGGTGATACATTTTCACATACACAGCACTTTATACAAATGGGGTACAAAATAGGGCCACTTTATTTTTTCAAAAGAAAAGTAGATGTTAAAGTGGATACTTAACCATACCTCAGGTGGTGAAAATACATTGTTAATAGTTGTTTAAGGGGGGAAAAAAGTTTTTATATTCTGTTCATGTTCTATGTCTGCTAGTTTTTCAATTCACTGCAGTTCACTCAATTTGCTGCCAAAATATAGGACGAAAGGAGATTTACCGCTGATTATAGAACCGGCTTTCTGACAAGATGCGCATTAAATATCGCATGCGATTTATCGTGCAGCCCTACTTTTATGCAAAGCAACTTGCATTGCATTTAAGATAGACATGTATTTGTTTTATTTATTTGATCAGTCCATTCTTTCCCTTGGCATTGCTATCACCATGCTCTACTATTTGAGCTAAAGGAAAGAAAAATTGAGAAAATGAAATGAGATTCTCCCGTCGAGAAAAACTGACATTACTTTAAGGGAATGGTTTATATTTAGTAATAAAGGAAAATAATGCAGGGCTGCATGCAAAATTTGAGACGGAGCTAAATATTAAGTTTTTAGTCATTAAAATAAGGTAATAATTAAAAAATATTATTTAATACAATGAACTGAATATCAATTCAGTTGAATTACACTGAAAAATAATCTTCTCACAAAGCTGATCCACTTTACGCTGTAATGTTTTTTTTTCTTTCTCTCTCTTAGGTGTTTTTTGCATCAGTGCGCTCAGGTGGCAGCAGTCAAGTCTACTTTATGACTCTCAACAGAAACTGCATTATGAACTGGTGAAAGAGCTGCCACATGAACATAGATTCTGCTGTGTGCACACATACAAACACTGAAGAGATAGTCCTCACAGATAACAACACCCACATACACTCTCACACTCTGTAAATACACACACACACACTCCTGCACAAACCTCCATATAGAACACACACAGTTATTTACTTCACATCTTCCTGAAGACACTCCTTCATTCTGCTGTGATCTCTGAGCCACCTGTACAAGGCGTGCGTGCGTCTGCCATGAGCGCGCTGCTGACCTCTGACAGAGCAATGTTGTGTTCATCTGATTCCACATGGGTTAGCTTTCAGCTCACTGGGGCCAATGTTCCTCACTGCTAATGTTTCTGACCTTTTTAGGACCAGACAAAAATACTAATTGTACATTATTCTACTAGAAATGTGTGTAAACTACGAAAATCGTTCAATTGTTGCTCGTCTTGTGACGCAGCAGCGGTGTGCGTGTGTTTGAGAGACTTTATAAGCTACTTCAAGCAGCAGAAACAACTTGAAACAGCAGTGGTGTGAATGTGGTACTGCAACAGCTGTAATTTTCCATTTCCACTGTATAGAGTAGTAGTCGTTTGTTCTTGGTTGCATTCAGAGTTCCAGATAAAAGTGATACAATGTTTTCTTTCAACAAGTAGAAGTATAGAAACTGATTTAAAAATATAAGTTTGAACATATTCTGAGATGGCTTCCCTTCTGAGCAAGGGAAGGTTTTTGCTTTCTTGACGTATAAACAATAATCTGACGCCTGTGTCACCAAACTGTTTGTTCGATTGGAACGGTGGTGGCCGCTTACGGAGCAGGATCCAGCGTTTTGCTTTTCCACTAGTCACCCACAATGGAGCAACAGTCTCTGGTTTTCGCTTTTCAAAGCACTTTTTTTCTTTCTATGTGGGAAGTATCATCATATCTACTACAGTTTGATATTCTCCGTACGTAAGCGTATTTGGTATTACTCCGACTTTTATTATCTGCTGTTCTATAGCTGTTCTATTGCAATACGTGCTGTGTGCTCGTTCTTGTTCAAAGTTTTACGAGGGAGTTTCTCTTGGGATATTTTGATTTTAGACAGGAAGATACAGTAAGCTACTCTGGATATGATTGAAAGCGCTTTTTGGCAGCATAAACGTATTGTAAATTGTAAATAGCAGCCACGATCGTATTTAGATCTCATTTGTATTCAGTAGGCACATGATTTTTTTAGGAGTTCAATCGCTACACGACTGCGTAATACACTTGAGAGTGATTTCATAACTGAGTCATGTGTTTGTGCTGTCAAAATTGCTTGATTGCTTATGGGAGGTGTAGTTTTTTTAGGCAGGCTTGTAGTTCATCAGGGATGTGTGCATTTGATCAGACTTTTTTCTTTGATATTTGGACCCCACCATTAGCAACACAAACGTCATGTTTTAGATGAAGACTTGGGTGGATTGGAGCAAGAATATTCTTTTGTTTATTTGACAGTGTGCCAATGAGCTGCACGTGTGTGCGGGAGTGAGTGAGTATCAGTGGGAAATATTAATCAGTAACGTATAGTAGGATTAGTATAAAGCAATAGTTTAAATATTATTGATGGGTTTGTGCCTGGTGTTACTGTCTCCAGCTCTGCAATACTAGACTAGAGATTTTTCTCAAGCTTTTCACTCATTTCCATGCAGATAATCTACATTTACCTAAAAAGAATACCTTCACAATCTAGTCTTTTCTCTTTCCCTATTTGATGAAGATGGTATTATACCATAAATGCTGCCTTTACAAATAAAAGTTTGTGTACACTAATCACAGAATAGAATATTTGACGCACTCTGTCCCTCCTAAACAGTTTTCTAGTTATTAACACTAAATGATTTTAGCACTGATTTGTACAGTAGCTTGTGGCGGTACAATCATCATCTATTACCTAATAGCCCCTCCCACTGGACATATTGCCTGCTGTCGCACAGTCTAGACAAACAACTAAATACAGATGACACATTCAGTAAGTCATTATTAAAATATGGCAGCGCAACACTTCAGACAAATAATTATAAATAGTTGCATTTCCGAGAGAGGCGTGGGCTTATAGTTCGATTGTTCATCATCTGTTAGTGGGCAAAATCAAACCGAACTTGAAGGCTACTGTGCCATTATGACAGATTCACTCTCTCTGAGACTTACTTCGTTTGTGCCCCTCATCCTTACTTACTTTCTCTTACTTGCTATAGAACTTAAGCATTTTCCTGCTTAGTAAATCAACCTGCCATGTTTACTGACATAACAGTGCCTTGGATTGGGGTTGGGTGTATTTGCTTGATTGTGTGCATGTGTGTGTGGGAGAGCGTTGAGCATGTGATTGTTTTAATAAGAACTGAAGTTCAGGGAAGAAAAAAAGTCCAGTGCGCAGTTAGGGGTCTTGTGCCAACAAAGTGCACTTAAACTGACAATAGCCAGAGCACCAAAACAGGCTCTTCTCACTCTGTTTTAGCACAAAAGCCATGCCATAATGAGTTCATTCCTCCAGTTTGAAGGCAGTATTTAGATGTTTGCTTACCACCATATTACAGTCCAAACGCCCTACAGTTACATGACAAGACGAGCATGTTGTGGAGTGCGTGATGGTGATGCTTGTAGCTCGTATATCACTATATCGTTTGGCCAAACGGAAAGTCTCTGGTTTTCATGCTGGAGGTTCACGAAAGGTTCGGGTTGTCATGGTGAGGAGCTGCTCGCATGCGTGTGATGTAAGTCCCCAGCATTCCCAAGAGCTCTTGGAATTTGGTGCGATTTTGCCTGTATGTTTAATAGTAAATGTGTATAACTGTGTTCACACTACTGGATTGACAGATTTTATGTTTTTATAGAAGAATTATGATGTAATGAATAACGAAATTAAATGGTTTTGCAAATTAGATAAGGAGTTTATATTAAGATTACAATGGCCTGTCGGGATGGTGGAAATGAATGGAGGGGAAAAAAAAAATATATATATATAAAATCCATGAATTCTTTTTTTTTACCCAAATGTAAATTTATATCAAAAATAGTGTAATGAACGTAACCTTATCAATAGAACTGAATAAAAGAATGCATTGATATATAGCATTTCTCTGGTTGAAGAATAATCATTCGAGCACAAAGCTTCTCCCTGTCGAGCTGTGCATACGGCTGTACGTTCAGTAGCCCTTTTTCCAAGCGAGTGTTATAAAAGAGAGCATGTGGGTGTGCGACTGTGCATGTGTGAATAGGAGAGCTATTTTTGATCTGCGTGTGTGCTGTTCATTATTCCCTCAGAGGAAAGAGAGTGGGTGAAATGTAGACCAAGACTAGTCGACAGCGATTGAGGACCAGAATGGTCAAACATACATACATCACCACTGGACTCAAGCCACAGATGAGACTCCGGTCATGTTTGTAAATGCCACTGACGACCAATTGAACATTTTAGTCTTTCCACAGCAGCTGACCACAGCACAAAAGCTCGTATTGAAATGTAATTCCATGTGTCGGGTTGTTCTGAAGGTGCACACGTTGTTGGCTTTATTGTGGACGTTATTGAATGTAATCAGTTTGTTTTATTCTGGTCTGTTAAACTGATCTGCTGGATTGAAGGCTTGTTAGACTTTTACAGAATCCATGGTTTAGGTGCACATGTAAAGATGATATTTTACACTCCATCCCCCAGATCTGAACAAATGTTTATCATTGAAATGCCTGTTCTCCTTTATATCCAACGAGAGCATCATTTTAAAAAGCTAGACTAGTTCATGTGTAGCAGTCTTCAAGAGATGCGGAGCTGTCTGGTTTTCGTTTTAAGGCCTTTACTGCTGTGTTTGAGAAATTTATCTACTCTACATGCTATTAGCACTATGCTAACACGTGGCATTTCTCTTGTCGTTCTCTAGTAATACAAAGTTAATCCCTTAGCTGATTTTTGTAAAATATTTACTACTCCAAAGAAAAAGAAAAAGTTCATGACTTGTAGTTCGTTTACTTTGTGATTTTGGTTCAATCTCATAGCAGTAGCCAGGAGGGGTTAAAGGTTGTTTTGGAGGTCTTGATAAAGTTGATCCTCTGTGATGGGTTGATTATCATTCTTTTCATTTAGTTTTTATGTTTCAGAAAAAAAAGTAGATGTTTCGGACATTTTTAGTGTTTCTGTTTAGGAGAGGGAATGCTTCAGTTGAGTTTAAGTCATTTTAAAGATTGAATGCATTCACAAGTCTGTAATGTCTCAATACAGCATTATTTGAAAATTAAAAATAACTTGATCTCTGTTAAAATGGTGTAACTCTTTATTCCTTCAAGCTCATTTTATTAGATTTTATTATTTTTTAAACAATATATTTAAATTAACTTGTTTGCTCATGGTAGCATGTGCTCATATATTTTTATGACATATTAGATAATTATCAAATAGGGTACAAAAGCTCAGATGAGTCAATTAAATGTCATACTGTTTCCTGTGACTGAGACAGGAACCATAAAGAAGTGACTGGGCTGTAGTAGATATTAGAAAAAAAAATGTGAAAAACACATTCTGATGTTAACGCAAAAAGATTTGCATCCAATCCAACTTTCCAAATGTTGGCCCAAATTTATCATATGCAAATGTGTTCGGTATCACACTTCTGTTGCTGTTTATACTTTTGCAACACTGTCAGATTAATAATTTTGCTGGTCCAATGTGAAGTCTGGGTCCTTAAAAAAACAGCTGAGAAGCACTTTTATGAATGGAGTAATTTCACATAAGTATTCACACAGCCTTGTGAGCCACCTGTGGTCACATATTTAGTGGCACAGATTTTTATTGATTTATTTTCAGTTTCCTTTATTCTCCTTAGGGTGTGGCACACAGGAAAACATGAATAAAAGCTTTAAAAAAAAAAGTCAAATCTAAACAAAAATGAAAGTCAAAACATCATATATTTACTTGTATACTGGAATATGCCGGCATATGCATCTATAAAAACATGGACTACATAAAGTGTGATCTGAATCAACTAGGACAATTCTTGGTGGGTAACTGTCTCAGGTCTTCCATATTTTCAACTCTACATGCTCATGGAAACATCAGTACTTTAGGCTTATTTTTGAGTATAGATGACAGAATGGAAGTCAAAATAAAAATGATTGCTCTTAAATGGATCAACACCCACCACTTAGAGCTCAAGGTTCAGTCTCAAAATAAAGCGTCAAAAAAATGTTTTAGATTTGTACGCTCAAATTAGACAACTCACTCAATGCACATTTCTCCAAATGTACTTGTGTACCATGTAGGTCCAGCAAACCTTTAGTAAGGGGGAAAAAAGCAAGTGTGTGTGTGTAAACATTCCTGTTTCAAACTTGTGGTCCAAACCTACCTATAGTGTGACTATATGTATAGAGTGTCGCACTGAAGAGACTGGTGTAAACGTGTAACTAATTATATATATTATGTACAGGTTTTTGTCAGGCATGTGTCCGTGTAGGCAAGTGTACATCATATGTACAGTAAAGTACATACATTGTGTATGATGAGTGAATAATGTGTACAATATGTGAGCTGTGTGTGTGGTCAGTTCCAGATCTTCAGGAAGCTGTCCCAGGAACCTGTGCTTACAGCCATGCCATCATCTGTGACCCCAAGACAGCTCACACGATTATCATGGCCAGCCAGCACTCCTGTAAAAGACAATGAGTGTGACGGGTTAAAGTGTAAACATACAGTTTATATTGGGCCAGTTCAAAACCTGTATTTTAGTGGATTTCCCACCTCATGCATGCAGCATGTATACGCTACCGTTCAAAAGTTTGGGATCGGTAAGATCTATTAAATGTTTGGAAAGAAGTCTCGTATGCTCAACAAGGATGCATTTCTTTGATCAAAAAGACATCAAAGGTAGTTATATCGTGAAATATTACAATTAAAAAAAATCTAAATTCTTTTCTATTTTAATACATGTTAAAATGTAATTTATACCTGTGATAGCAAATCTAAATTTTCAGCATCATTACTCAAGTCTTCAGTGTCACATAATCCTTCAGAAATCATTCTAATGCTGATCTGATGCTAAAACTTGAATCAGTTGTGCTGCTTAAAGTACCCCTATTATGCCATTTTTAAGGTTCCTAATATTGTTTTGGGAGTCTCCTACAATAGGTTTGCATGCATGCAAGGTCAAACAACGCTTTCATTTTCTCAAAATATGCTTTTAATACCACCTCATTTTTCAGCGATTCTTAAATGATTCGTTCGAATCAGTTCTAAAGGTGCGTCCCAAATCATGTACTTGTGCACTATTCTATGACGTTTTGTAGTATAAATAGTGTGAGTAGTGCATTCACACTGAAAATTCCAAAAAGAAAAAGTGCACTTTAAATACCTGGATGATATAAGAAAACAAAGTGTGGAATGTTGGACACTTCATGCACTCAACTGTCGCAGCTTTAATTATGTACCGAAGGGGGAGCGGCTATCAGACTCTGATTATGAATGACAAAATAACCTTATATAATTCATACACTACATGGTTGAGTACATAGTGCATAAGTACATAGTGTATGAGTGCATAGTGTATAGTGCGTCATTTGGGATGCAGCTAATGATTCAGTGTCTCTAAACCCCTCCTTCTCGTGAGCTGTCTCTGCTCTGATTGGTCAGATGGCCCAGTGTGTTGTGATTGGTCCACCGTGTACAGTGTGTCTCGGAAACATTACATCCGTTATCATAGTTCTGTATTTTGAACGCTCTGTAGAAAATATAAACATCTATTATTACCATCCTTACTTGTGATTCAGTAGAGCTAGCTGGTCCAAATAAACTGGGTACTGCGCAGTTTATTGATCTTTCAAGAGCAAGCGTTTTGTTAACCCCACATTAGAGAAGCAGTCGTCAGTAAAATGACGTGTTTGAGGGTGGCCAACATAGAACATAGGTGGCCATTATGTAAATGTGTTACTAACGACTCGTGCAGTCGATTCTTTCTTTTGGGAGACAATAACTTTATGCACTTTTGGCTTTACAACTTTGCAGATCGTTTGCATTCACATACAGCTACATTACACACTGCATGAAAGGCACTATTCAAAATGGCATAACGGGCACTTAAATGTTTTTGTGGAAAAATATTTTGTGAGATGTTTTTCAGGATTCTTTGATGAATAGATGTTTATTTGAAAATAATTTATTTGAAATATAAATCGACTGTAACATTATTATTATTATAACATTCTTGTAACATAATTGTCTAAATAAAAGTAATAATTTATTTAAAAATAAAATTGTACTGATCCTAACCTGAAAGGAAGTGTAAAAATGAAGCAAAATAATATAAAATAACAGTATTATGATATGAATATATAATAGTATGAATAATTTCCATTTAAAAGGCACATTAAAACATTTTTTTATTAATAATGTGCATTTGAGTAATGTACTTTTATTTTGTAAATATAATATAATCTACTTTAATTGAAGTAATCTACACTACAAGCAAGTGTAGCAATGCAACAAAACTATCTTGTACTGTAGGCAGCTCGTTTTTTTTTTTTTTTTACACGATCGGCATAATTTGTTACAGTCTGATACAAGAATTTAGAGCTAATTTCTGTATTTTACATTTGTGTAAATACCAGTGCCGGATTGTTCAATCTTCTGTTCCCCTAAACCCCGTAGATCCTACGTCACTATTGTTCAGAGACCTCACAAGTTACAAATGAAACATTTTGCAAACGGTTACTGTACTGCCACAAAATATTAACGCCAGTATGCTCACCTGCTCGGTCTCCCTTCATGGCGTCCCAGATGTTGCAGTTAAAGTCATCGTAGCCGGCGAGTAGCAGACGGCCAGAGCGGGAGAAGGCCACAGAGGTGATGCCACAGATGATATTATCATGAGAGTATAAACACAGCTCCTGATCCGCACGCAGGTCAAACAGCCTGCAGGTGGCGTCATCAGAACCAGTCGCGAACGCACTGCCGCTGGGGAAGAACTGAGAGATGGAGGAGAAAATAAGTGAAAAGCAATTGTGATCTACTTTGATTCTGCGATTTGTCTATTTGTTTAAGCAGCGCGTTTACTCACACAGACAGCGTTGATGTCTGACTCGTGTCCGGTGAACGTCTGTCTGCACATGCTATCTCTGATGTCCCAGAGTTTAATGGAGGCGTCACAGGCCCCCGAGATGAAGGTCCGTGAGTCTGGAGCCAATGACAGACTCATCACATCTCCACTGTGACCTGAGAACAGCGTGGTCTGCTGCCCAGTCTCAATGTCCCACAGAGCGCTGGCACAAACACAAATACAAGGTTAAAACATACAAACTGCACAGACATTATTGAATAATGTAAGTGTACGTTCAAAAGAAGCTGTAACTGAAAGTGAACGGTGTGTTTGATTGCAGCTATTCTCATCTGGTCTGATCACGGACAGCAGGGAAAAAACAATAAAATGCAAAACAAACAGGCTCATCAACTTTTAAAAGAGAGGAGAAATGCTTCCCATATCTTTTTCTGTTGACGTCCAAATTCATCTCTCTTAATAAAAGCTAGCTATGCTAACATAGACTTGGTTGCGTGATATGTCTTCATTCTCAAAATCATGAAACTACAAAAGGTGAAAGAAAATATGACCCAGACTACAAATAAAACAGTTGCAACAAGGATAAAATTGATGTGCTGATTTGATTTTTTTTCACTTGTGAATACTGATTTCTGAGTTTAATATTAAATAATATTAAACATTCTAATTATTAACACATTTCAATTGTATATTAGTATTAATAATATATTTTTTTTAAATCATGTTTGATTTTAAGGGCATTTGTGTTCACATTTGTACGATAGACAATTCTGGTACTATGGTACCACAAATTTTGGTCCTGAAGGAAAACCAGTTAAGGACCACTGTAGTTTTTCACATTTTCAGTGTAGTACAGTGTTGTTATTGAACACACCAGGTTGTGTCTCCTGAACTGGTGATAATTTGATTGTCATCTATGAAACGGCAACAGGAAAGGTAACCTAGGAAATGAACAGACAGGAAGTCAACATGTCGCACCCTGAAACTGCATGATGGTAGAAAAAACTTTTTAACGGCTGTCTGATTCTCTTTTCTTTCAGACGTACAAAAAAAGACATACAGAAAAAATGCAGTCATGAGCAGTGTATTTGATTGCTGCCAACAACAGTATACAAACTGATCTATGAATCAATCAAAAATATTTATACTTCTTTGTATAAAAGCTATTCATGTTTATGACATTGCTTTACTGTTCTGGGTAAATGAAGGTGAATATGTGCGTGTTATCAAACCTGTGTGTCCAGGCAGCTCTCGGCTGACTCTAACATTGCCCTCTCTAGTCTTTAAGCTGTATATGGAGCAAATGTTGTCCAGTCCACCACAGGCCACAAAGTTTCCAGATGGCGCATACACACACGTCATCACCCATGATGACCGTAACGGGATGGCGTGAATCTGAAGTTTATAATATTGAACACACGCAAAGATTAAAACAGGCTGTTGAAATATAACCTACGAGAAAATATTTAACTGACCTTTTGCCAGTGTTAGTGGTGAACTGTCTTCCTAAATAATCATTTAGTTCACCTGATGAATATAATGTGACTTTACAATACACTTACTACAGGGACAATCAACTTGGCATTGGTTTACTTGATGGTGATAGACAGTTCATGAAAAGCTTTGGTTACTAACTCAAAAAACTACAGTACTTGGCTGCACCATCATGTGCTTTATGTGTAATAATATGATGGAGCTACAGACCTTGTTTGTAGTGTAGCTGTCCCAGACAATGAGTTTTCCATCCTGTGAGGCACTAACAAGAAGCCTGAGGATAAGATAAGAAAACGGACATATATTATTATAGATAAAAAGAGAATACAAGTGTCAGGATTCTGGACTGTCCGTGTCGTGTTTTGCCCATTTCTGTTCCTGTTTGTCCTTATTTGGTCAAGTTCCTGTCCTCGTTTAGTTTGATTATTAGTTTATTCCCCGCACATGTCTATCCCTGGTCAAGTCGAGTATATAATGTGTAGTCTGCCTCATGTTTCTTGGTCGGGTCTACGGAGTCGTGTTCGTGTGTCGCTCCTTGTTCCTGAGTTGGATTTACCCGTGTCTTGGATATAATAAAGACTATTTTGTGTATTCCACGGCTCCGTGTTCCTTCCGGCAGCGATCGTGACAACAAGACAGTGAGTGAAGTGGCTGGTGGCAACTGAAAGTTTGTGCTACACAACTATTTATTTTACAGAGTTATTTTGAATTCATAAACTGAACTTACAGCTTTCAGCTGCACTCACTTTATTTCTTTATTCCAGCTCAATTCAGCTAGTTGGTGAGAAAAAATGAACTGAATCACCAAGTAGCTTATGTTATTTGCTTGTAAGCTTATGTATTCTCAGTACTGCTGTTTCCTATATGGAGAGTACGCAGCCTTAGGCAACTAGAAAGTGGGCACGAAATTAAGTTTTTTTTTTTTTAGGGTTAGTGCACACATTTGGCTGGTGTTTTTTAAATTTTACACACAGGCACCTTTAAAGGGGTCATATGATGCGATTTCAATTTTTCCTTTCTCTTTGGAGTGTTTTGGGCAGTGTAGAGTAGCACTTGTTGTTTGTCATTTCTCCGATCACAAATGCAGACATGGTTTTATGTTTACGCGGCGCGATGCAATGCAACGCGTAAAAAGACAGTCATTATAATCTGTAATTATGTCCCCACTCAATGCAACAAATGCCTCTTTTATAATGGGTTTTAATGTTTTTGTCTCGACGCTCCGGCTGGACAAGGCATTACAATATGGTAAGGGGCGTAACATTTCCGTCACACGCTTGAGGTATTCGGCCAATCACAACGCACAA